AAACTAGTTTTATTTAAAAAAAGGACTTGTATCGCTGAAGTTCTTCGTAAAGAATTTTTACGGGAAATTAACAAACGACCAATATTCGTAACAATATTCTATAATTATCAGTGGGTTGTTAAGAAAACAGTTAAGATTAAAAATGTTTGCAAATTATAGAAGTAACTACATTATATGTAAATAATTTAGTCTAAGTTCAATGCATTACTTTAAAACATTTTACTATTCGAGAAAATTATGGTTGTTCGATAAAATGTTCCTGAAAAGCTGATCAGATCATCTCGTAATATTTGAAAATGTACTTTCGACTGCTCCAACACCTATAATTTTTACATCAACCACACGTAACGACAAGAAAATTATTAAACATGCTGCATCGCTTTGTAAGAGACTATTGACTATATTAAGGTATATTTATCAAAGTAGGGGTAAGTTATACTTTATATTTTTGGCATACATTAATTTTTCTAGAACTATATAAAGATTTTTTGGTAGATAAAGTAACATGTGGATCTGATATGTGATTACAGTTTATTTACATTACAAGTAAAGTATGAGAGCTAAATTTTTGTTTTCATTAAAACGTTATTATTTTACGGCTATGTTGGTAAGCTTCAAGATAAAAGATAACGTTTATATGATTTGTATTCACCTATAACAAACCTGAGATGTTTATTTAAAATCCGAATGTACGGATTTTGCCACGTGTTTTGTATAGTGTTCTTTAATAACATTCAAAATGCGAAACTAAAAAACATAAATATTGCTGTATAACGGCTCCTAAACTGATATAATGAGACTTACCTACGATCGAAAATCTGATTTTACATAAGAATAAGAAATGATCTGTTGGACGCTTTGAATCTTTATGATGATTTCTCGTGATTTTAAACACTAACGTTAGAGGTTTATAAATATAATTATCGCACTTAATGAAAAGCTCTACCCATTGATCCAGAACATGTACGCTAGTGAGCTGAGCGTAAAGCTTATACCCATAAATTGAACAGGCCTAACCTAAAGCTAGGTATGTTACAGGCCAAACCCGGTGCTTGTATGTTACAGGCCTAACCTTGTGCTTGGTATGTTACACGCCTAACCTAGTCCTTGGTTATTTTGTAGAATATAAATTTCGGTTTCTTTGTTTTGAATTTCGAGCAAAATTACTTGAGAGCTATCTGTGCTAGCTGATCCTAATCTATCAGTGATGGCAACCGCACCCACCGCCAACTCTTGGGCTATTCTTTACCAACGAATAGTGGGATTGAGCGTCACATTATAACACCCCCACAGTTGAAATAGCGAGCATGTTTGGTGACGAGGATTCGAACCCACGACTTGCAGATTGCGAGTGGAGCGTCCTAACCAGAAGGCCATTCCAGGCCTATGTAAATTTGAAATGATAAATGAAAGTGGCACCTAGTGACTGTTGTCAAAAACGTTTAATTTAAACTACCATATTAATTCATTTTCCTGCTTTTTTCTTACTCTATTTTCTTATATAGCATAACATTTAACTAACGGAAAGACTATTTAGCATTTCTGGCCTATAGAAATAATAATAATTGTCTGTATTCACTATAACTTCGTGCAAACCGACTACCTCTAATTTTGTTAGTGACAAAAAATCTGGGAATCATAGCTATCATGGGTGGAGAAGTATGATTGTAAATTACAATAAAACATGTCTTACCTCTTGGTTGGCATGGTATATCTTTGTTATTTTTTTCAGAGGTTACTTCGACTGACTCTGGAATAATGACAGCTGTGTCACCTCTTCCCAGAAACTCTTTGATTTTCTCTTGTTCTCTTTTCAGTTTCTTGTCTAGTTTCTCATTAGTGATGAGACTTGCAGCTACATCGTCGTCCAAGTCATTTTCTTCACGTTTTTTTTTAAAGACGTCTTCACATTTTTCATGGTTCTGGTGTTGCGTCTTGATAAATTGGTAAGAATTTTGGAAACTTTCCTCAAGAACAGCTTGTTTACTATTGATATTTGGAACTGATTTAAAACATTTACTAGGTTTTTTCAAGTTTAAAACCATTTTACTAGGTTTGTTTCTGGAAGTCTTTTGCGTACTTTTAAGTTCTTTGTGATCACGTGATATCGAACTGTCTTCTTCTGAGTGTAAATCATCTAAAGACGTCAAATGATCCAAATCGTCTTCTTCTGGCATATTTTCAACTTCAGCTGATGACACGTGTATAAAAAAAAAAGTTTTTTTAATACATTACTCATATCGTGACATATAAACCATACATAATTTAAAATTGTTATTTATTTTTGCTATAATCATTCAAATCATAAGCTTAATTATCCTTTATTTTTTCCTGTTTTAATCATTAAAATAACAATTATTTTTTGTAATTAAGCAAAAAGATACACAATGGGCTATCTGTGCTCTGCCCACCAGGGGTATCGAAACCCGAATTCTGGCGTTTAAAGTCCGCAGACGTACCGCTGTGACAACGAATATATTGCAAACTGATCTTGATTATGAGCACTTATTCGCTGCCGAATTTCAGGTATTATAAACATGACATCATGAACAAACCGTAACCGATTATAGTTGGTCGAATTTCAGGTATTATAAACATGACATCATGAACAAACCGTAACCGATTATAGTTGGTCGAATTTCAGGTATTATAAACATGACATCATGAACAAAGCGTAACCGATTATAGTTGGTCGAATTTCAGGTATTATAAACATGACATCATGAACAAACCGTAACCGATTATAGTTGGCCGAATTTCAGGTATTATAAACATGACATCGTGAACAAACCGTAACCGATTATAGTTGACCGAATTTCAGGTATTATAAACATGACATCGTGAACAAACCGTAACCGATTATAGTTGGCCGAATTTCAGGTATTATAAACATGACATCGTGAATAAACCGTAACCGATTACCATTTATTTTATTCTTTCCTTGACCAAACACTTTAATTAAAATTAATATGAATAGACAAAAAACTACTGATAATTTTCTACATAGATCTGTTTTGAAAAACAAAAAGGAACCGTGAACGTAAATCGATATAAAGATACTAAGAAAGCGATCAAATCTTTATTAAATTTCAATACAACTTTCGATATCTTATTTTTACAAAAATGAGATAATTCAGTGAAAACCTTGATTGGTAGACTTGTTCGTTTGTGCGCAGATCTATACAGTGGGACTATCCGCACTGTGACTACCGCGAGTATCACAACCTAGTTTTTAGCAGTGAAAGCCCTCTTACTTACCGCTGAACCCCTGGGAGGCTGCTTAGTGGCATGCAGAGTTTAGGAAGTGTAAATCACCCGAGTACGGACAAACGTTTAACAATTTTTATAGTTATTTTTTCAGTCTAATGAAATATTATAAAAACACTATTACGCAGGAAAAACAGTTTGAATTATTCATGATTCAAATACTTATATTTAAATTATTTTTTTTTTATAAAAGTAAGATACATTTATATCTCAGCTAACACGCTTGAACACTCAGTTGCATAGAATCCAAAACATAGTATTAGCACGAGTAAGTGACTATTCATTGTATCCAAATAAGCAACAGGATTAAACACATAATAACTAAAGAGTAGGTGTTCTCTATTTCCAGTAGCTGAGCTTCTTTGAACACGGTATTTCCAGGAGTAAGCATATATTTGGTACATTAGTCTAAAGTAGCTACATATTTCGTTGTGAAGTTTCACAACGATAAACTTGATGGTTTTATGTTTACTTCTTTGCTTAAACTAATCGTTATGTTCAAAGAGTTTATTGTGAAACCTTCTACACTAATTATGAATGTAGTTTGTTTGTTTGTAATTATGCACAAAGCTATACAATGGGCTATCTGTGCTCTGCCCACCACGGGTATCGAAACCCGGATTCTAGCGTTGTAAATCCGCAGACATACCGCTGTGCCATTGGGCTATGTATATAGTTTGTTTGTTTGTATGCGGTAACTGCACTGGCCACCAAAAGAAAACGTGTAGTTCTAAATTGCTATAAACCGATGTTAGCAAGAAGATATGCACTAAACATAAGCTTGGTAACTAATTAATGGATTGGAGTCAAAGTGTTTAAGGAAAATATTTTTACAGATTAAATTTTCTGTCTGTTGATGGGAGCATATACAAAAATAGAGTCAAATGTGAAAACAATGAGGAATTCTGCAGTCTTTTGGAAGCTGTAGATGTACGTTTTTTATTATTTACAATAACACTAAATGTGGTGTTACCAACATAGCTTCAACGGTTCAGTTTCAGAAGTAAGAAACTTCCACTGTTTTGTGTAAAGGACAAATCAGTAGAACATCCTGTTGCTGAGATGCCACCTATTCCTAGCTTCATGGACTAGTTAACGCAAAACATCAACCTCAAAGAACATCGTAGAAATATAAAACTCTGGGGAAAAGAACAACGTAGAAACAGGAAACACAGGTATAAAGAATAATGCAGAAACTTAAAATACAGGGAAAAAAGAACGACGTAGAAACAGAACACATAGGAACAAAAAACAATGGAAGAACATAAAACACAAGGAGAAAGAACAATGTAGAAATATAAAACGCAGGGGGAAAAGAACAACGTAGAAACATATATATACAGAACACAGGTACAAAGAATAATGTAGACACATAAAACCCGGGGTAAAGAACAACTTCTAAATATTAGTCACGGGGACAAAAAGCTAAGTACAAGCATCAATTGTCTGGTTATTTAAGTGCAAGTCTTCGCAATGGGCTATTTGGGCTGGGCCAACTGCAAGTATTAAACCCTGAATTTTAGTTCTAAATCCAATAAATCATAATAATAATAGATTAGTAGCATAAATTCTACGTGTTCTCCAAATGCTATACAATTAGGTTCACTGTGGTGAGTAAAAGACAGCTAGAAAACTACGTACATATAAAATTCAGTTCACCACTGTAAGAAGCATCGTCCTGTTTTTTCGATTAGCCATTGTCAAGCATTACTGGTAAAGGGTAGAATTTCTTGAAAGTAGTATACATAAATGACAAATGGGCGAATCAAATGATAGATTGTGCTTCACGTTTATTTTTAATAGTTTGTTTGTTTGTTACGGATTTCGCGCAAAGCTACACGAGAACTATCTGCGCTAGACGTCCCTAATTTAGCAGTGTAAGACTAGAGGGAAAGCAGCTAGTCATCACCACCCACCGCCAACTCTTGGGCTACTCTTTTGCCAGCGAATAGTGGGATTGACTGTCACATTATAACGCCCCCACGGCTGAAAGGACGAGCATGTTTGGTGTGAGGGAGATTCCAACTCGCGACCCACAGATTGCGAGTCGAGCGCCCTAACATTTTAATAGTTTAAACGGCGTTTCTGCTCTGCTCCGTTCTTCAGAATATTAAATTAGTAGGATAAATAATAGATATTTTCAAATCCTATTTAAGTGTTGATCCACCGCGATAAATTAATGATAACTATAAGCACATAAAATATAGCACACCCATATAGCACACAAAAGCAGGCCTTGTCTTGTTTTTACAGTTTTGGTCTTTGCCCAGGACTACAACTGATGAAGAATGAAATTCACCGAAATCGGTATTACTCGGTGACAGGTTGTGAATCAAATGACAAATTGGGCTTTATATTTAGGATTACTATCTTAAACAGGTTTTCTGTTTAATATTTCAGAAGAATAACTTAGAAGCATCAGTGCTACGTTCTCATCTAAGCCTATAAAAATAAACATATGTTTACTCTGGTAAGTAAAAGATAACTATAAAAAGTATATATATATATATATATGTATAAAATTAAATTTAGTTTTTTACGTTAAAAACAAATGTGCTAAACATACCTTAAACTGTTACTGAATTATACAAGGGAAGGAGCTCTCTAGATATTTTTGTTGACGACTCTACTGTTACAATGTTTTGGTTCATGGTTGTCTACAATGAATATTATTCTAAGGGCCTTGAGTTACTCAATGTAAACTATGTTCGAAGGGCCTTGATTTATTCAGTGTAAACTATATTCTAACGGCCTTGATTTATTCAATGTAAACTATGTTCTAAGGGCCTTGATTTATTCAATGTAAACTATGTTCTAAGGGCTTTGATTTATTCATTGTAAACTATGTTCTAAGGGCCTTGAATTATTCAGTGTAAACTACTGTTTCTCTGTATCACGAAATAAAGTGAGAAAAAAAATTGTTATATTTTTGTAAGTTACTTTGTTAACCTTTTCTTAAACGCATTCTATGCCCCCCCCCCAGTGGCACAGCGGTATGTCTGCGGACTTACAACGCTAGAATCCGGGTTTCGATACCCGTGGTGGCCAAAGCTCAGATAGCCCGTTTTGTAGCTTTGTGCTATAGGCTGTTATCTTAACTTTTCAAAAATGTAGTTATGAAAATACACTTTCTATGATATTTTTTCTTTAACATTTTTATAGCTTTAGTTTGTTTTTTGTTACTTTCCTCAGAGTAGTAATAGTTAAAGTTGATATAAACCAAACAATTACTTTCGAGATAGTTTACAAATTATTTAACCTAAACATTATTAGCTCTGTTTCGATGAAAAATGTTTAGATTTGAAATGTTAAAAAAAACATTGTTATATTAAAAGTTAAAACACTGACCAGATTAATTAAATATCTATTCTACGACGAAAATTTCATTATAAACATTATCTAGTCACTATTATCATTATCTAGATAATTTCATTATCTAGTCACCGTTACAGTTCTTGATGAATTGTTTAGTCTGCACTTATTGTAAGCATTTTGTATTCATAATGATAAAACTTTTCATTTGACCAAACACGTAAGAGTAACGACAATAATCTTGCTATTTCTCCCAATAATATTCCATTCTCCACTTTCAGCTCAAACAAAACGACACAATATTAAACTCTGTTGTACTTATCAAATGCCAATCGTAACGTTAGATCCAAGTAAAGGTTTAAACAGAAACATCAAGTGGCTGCCAGCTCTGCAATGCCTGACGAGATTGCAACAGTCCTCGTTAGTTGTTTACTGAAGTACAACTTGTAAAGATAAATTTGGAAGACAGCATAGATCGTGTTCACTACTTGAGTAACCATTGCTCTGTGGAGAATCCTCCTCTGTACTGTTCCAGAAACATTCATTAAAACTTAAAACTGTATGTAGAGTACAAACAAATTTATTTAAATAGTCGATA